CAGATATTTTCCTCCAGCTGTGAAACTTTTAGTCTCTTGCCAAACTGTCTATTAGCTTGAACTGCAACTTAGTCCCACGTCTGGTGTCTGTGAACCTGTTGGCTTTCAGAAGGCTTTTGTCCGTGTTGTTAGTTGTGTCTGATTTTAGTTAGTTAGTTAGTTAGTTATCGGATTTATATAGCCACCCATCTCAATGTAGAACCCTGGGTGCCTCACTTGGAGAATAGTACAGGTCGTCCTTGTTTAGCGACTGCCTTGTACAGCAACTGTTTACAGTTATGACAGTGATGAAAAAGGAACTTTGTGACCAGTCCTCACATTTATGACCATTGCAGGTCTGTAAAGCAAAGGAAAGCTGAAGGAAGATCATAAACACAGTCATGGTTTTACTTAGCGACTGCTTCGCTGAACAACTGAGTGGCCGGCCCCAATTGTGGTAGCTCAATGAAGACTACCTGCTTAGCCGTGAAGGTGTCATATTAGCAGTGGGAAGGCTTGGGTTCAAGGTGTCACTCAGCCCATCCCACCTCACACAGGTATTGTTGAGAGGTAGAAATTGGGTGAATGAATGAGATATATGCTGCCTTGTTCTCCAGGAACAAAGGCAGGATATAAATCTAACCAAAATAAATAAGTAAACCAAGTTCTCCAACCTGGTATTCTAGAAATGTGTTGAGGTTTCAGCTTCCAGAAAGTCCCAGCCAATCAGCATCTCCAGAATTCCTGAGATTTGAACATTTAGGGTTGATTGATTATGTGGCATCAAGTCATTTTCAATTCCTAGTGACCACGTAGGTAGATTTTCTCCATGACAATCTATCCCTAATCTGGTTCTTCAGGCCTTCCAACAGTATCCCCATTGCCACCGTAACTCAGTCCCTCCACCTTGCTGCTGGTCCTCCTCTTCTCTTTCCTTCCACCTTTCCCAGCATCAGAGCCTTCTCCAGAGAGCTGCTTCTTCATATAATATGTCCGAAGTAGGATAATTTGAGCCTGGTCATTTGTGCCTCGAGTGAGAACCCCGGGTTGATTTGTTCAATGAGTCATTTGTTTGTTTTCTTGGCCGTCCATGGTATTCTCAGGAGTCTTCTCCAACACCAAAGTTCAAAAGCGTCAATACTCTTCTTATCCTGCTTCTTCAGAGTCCAACTTTCACTTCCATGGAGTGTCACAGGGAATACCATGGCTTGCACTATTCTGATCTTTGTAGGGTACATACCCAAAATTCTTCCTAGCTGTGCTGGCTGGGAATTTTTGGAGTTGTAGTCTCATTACTTCTATCAGATACCAGGCTGGATTAAGTCTATCTTTAATGAAACTGCCTCGGTCTGTAAAGGAAGTGTTTTATTTTGGCCTTGTTTGAACTCTCATCTGGTGATTTCACGGCATCCATAGATGGAACCGGAGTTTACACCAGCTTTTACCTGAGCTCTTTCCATCCTCACTCGATGTATAACTGGCTCACTTCCTGAGGTTACAGCAAACCACAGTTTCTGCAAATCACAGATTAAAGCAAACTACACTTTGGACTCGCTCTCTGAAAGAAATTACATTTTTGAAAAAAATGCCTGGCCTTCTTGTGAATCATTTGGATCTACCTAACCTATAATGGTGATTCAGGATTAACAAATACTCATCATAATAATCACTAACTTTCATAAAATGCTATTGAAACTTGGAGGGGCATTCCTTTGAGTCACAGTTGATTCCTGCTGACTGCCTGGACTAGTTCCTGCAGGTTTTGGGCAAGATTTTTGGAAGGGGCTGAGAGTGACTGGCCCAAGGCCACCCAGCTGGTTTCGTGCCTAAGGTGGGACTGGAACACACAGACTCCTGGTTTCTAGCCTGGTGCCTTCACCACTACACCAGACCAGCTCTCATTGAAACTTTTACTGTTACCTTATTTCCTTTATCCAGATGTGGGGAACCTGTGTCCTCCAGTGGTTGCTAAATCGCATCTTAAGCCATTGGTCGGGTTGCAGTTGATGAACAAAATTTGGATGCTACAAATTCTCCAACTCGATGCTGCACTCCCGTTGCAGATTTGGGAAGGTCGATTAATAGGTTAATACCTCGTTAAGGCCCATAACAGAATTTAAACTGGTAGTTAGCTGGCTTACAGCTCGCATGCTGCCTGTTCCATCAGCACTCAGATCTTCTTCATTTGGATGCACGTCTTGATTTCTTGTTTACAATTTCATGCCTCTTCATGTATCCCAGAATAGTCTTCTTGCTATTTGTTCATCTGTTCCGTAGATGCTGGTTTGGTTTAGGGAGCAGTAGGAGAGCAAGGGCGATAAAATACTTGTAGTGCAAAAGTCAGTCTTTTTTCCAACCTTGCATTTTTGATGGATTTATAAAGGCATTAACGTGCTAAGCAGTTTTAATCGCTCCGGGAGTGAAAATGAATCAGTTCCCCCTGCCATGCCAAATGTCTTGTGGGTTGGATGGAAGCTTTTTAAAAAGAGCCTCTTATTCCTGAAAAGCCCTCTCTTTTTGGGCAACTCTGCTTTGCAGCCTCTTTTTTCTGACCTGTCCTTTCCAACCCTTTGTGTATATGCACAAGTGGTTAACTTTGCCTAAGAGATACGGTGTTTGCTTTCGCTTCTCGCTTCGGCACTGTTTGATGGACGAACAAGTTCAGCTGCTTGGAAAAGAAGGCTGGCTGAGGTGCTCCAGATGTTTCAGCCTATCCCAAGGTCAGATCCCTGAACTGCTAAGGCAATACCATTAGCCATGGAGCTCCGCTGCTCTGCAATGAAATGTGTGCAAGAACAAAGCAGTGCAAGGCCTGAGTTATTTCCCGTGGACAGGTAGGTCATATTCAGGGCTCAGATTAGCATGGTGCACGCAAACCAGTTGAATTTCCTTGCGTGTAGAAGCCCCTTGCAGCTTTCTGCTTTGGGTGCAGTCAAGGAGGGAATACAGATGTTGAAGGCAAACAGTATTAGGAAGGATGGATTAGAGCAAAGGTTGTGTGTTTCTTGAGCTAAGCTAGGGAAAGTGGGCCTCAGACATGGAGGTACCCTGGGTGTGATTGTATTTTCTTTCCCTCTCTCTGTCCCCAAGCTAAAGTTTGTGCCAGCAACCTGGACGATTTCAGGAGTAACAGTGGAAACAATTCAGCAATTAGAATTTCTAGTGTGATTGAATGGAAAGATAGTTAAGTCCACAGGAATAAAGATACAGTACTTTAAATCAGTGTTTCTCAACCTTGGCAACTTTTAAGATGTGTGGACTTCAACTCCCAGAATTCCCC